CGCCGGCGCCGCCGCTGCTGCTGCTGCTCCTGCAGGTGGCGGGGCCGGCGGGCGCCCTGGCTGAGACCCTGCTGGACGCGCCGCGAGCCATGGGCACCAGCTCCAGCCCGCCCAGCCCCGCTAGCGTGGTCGCTCCCGGCACGACGCCGCTCGAGGAGAGTCGATTGCCAGTGTTCACCCTGGATTACCCCCACGTGCAGATCCCCTTCGAGATCACCCTGTGGATCCTGTTGGCCTCTCTGGCCAAGATTGGTGAGCGAGCTGGACCCGCGGGGTGGGGCAGGGGCGATCGGGAGGGCAAGCCCCGGAGGGTGCCCAGGGCGGCGAAGGGACCTCTGGGTCGCGGACCAGGACACGAGCAGCAGCTAGAGCAGCTGCTTCTGCTCGAAAGGGACCCCGGGAGGAGCGGCTTTAGGCTTTCGTTCTGAAGTGGACGTTGGCCTTGAAATTGCCCCAAGATATAAGCCCATACGAACTTAGCGCTTTACTGCTTATTTCTGCCTCAAATGCCAGGTGTGACAGCCCTCTGCCACAGTCGAGACCTGTTTGCTGAGGGAGGAGGCGAGTGGGCTGAGGTTTATTGGTGTCGCCTACTCGGCCAGAGGCGCAGGCGAGCACCTAGGCTAAAACGGTTGAAGCCCTGGATGCTGGAGGGGAGAGATACTCCTTGGCAGTGACACAGACCCTGGCGCGCACCTGACTAATGAGGTGCATGGAGGAGGACCAGGGACACCTGAGTGCCTGCAGCTGCGACAGTTACGCCCTGCCTCCTCCCTCCTTTGGGCTGAGGCTGTCACTCTCCAGGAAGCGTTTTCTTAGGTGACTGAGGCCAGTGCAGCGAGATGCATCTTTAAAAATAATTAATCCACTTTCAGTCTATCTGTACCTCTCATTTGGAAAGCAGAAGCCTCAGAATGTATTTTCTCATCTTCATCCCCCCCCCAAAAAAAAACTTTCGTTATGATCATGGCGCTTTACATTATTTTCACTTTATATTTTAAATAATTTTTTATCTTAAAATATGTCAACTACTGTTGTAATGATTCAGAAAAGGTATTAGCTCAAAAGAATTTGTGTATTATCACTTATGTTTTATGCATTTGCCCGGTGAAAGGTCCTCTGTTGTAAGGTGAGGCAGGTCTCCATAAAGGATGAAAAGACACATGACCTATTGTCGGTGAGGTCGTTGCTTGGTGGGAGAGATGGCATACACACCAGAGACTGTGATACAGGAAAGTGCTTGGAAAAGATGCTATAGTAGTGTAAGGAGGCAGGAATCGCTTCCTCATGCAAAGGAAGCATTTCAGCTGGGTTTTCAAGGATGACCAGGATATGGTCAGTTGGAGATGAAAGGGAATAACGTTCCAGAGAGGAAGAAACAAAAGTGTAAACTGGGAGGGAAGCACAAAGCACAAGGGATGGTTACAAGGAGGGTGGAAGTTGTGGGGGGTTAGCCTGAAGTGAACCTTCGATGTCAGATTGAATTAATTAGATTCTGTTAATGGTGACCAAAGGAGGCACATGCTATTTAATGACTTTGCAGTCTGTAATTGCCTGGCTTTGACATGGTTCTACTAGTTGAGTGTTTTAATTCCACCTGAGAAACAGAATAAAGGGAAATGGACTTCCCCTTCTATCAAGCAGATATGCACATTTGCGTAGACTCGTTGCCTGTAATAATAAACTCAAGTGCCATCTCCTCGTAGGGTCCTCACGACAACCCTCCGTGTGGGCACTCCCACTTGGTAGAGGTGGAAACTGAAACTCAGAAAGTTCACATGAGTTGCCCACGGACGCACAAAGTGGGGAGTCAAATGCAGGCTCTGTTCACTCCCTTTCTTTCTCCGAGCCCCAAGTGTCCATCACTGGGTGGGTGTGTTTGTGCCCTGTTTCCATTACTGCTTCTCTGTTGCCTTTTCTATTCAATTACAACTCTCTCTTCTGTTCTTCACTACTGATTGTTTTAATCTGATTAATTACACTAATAACAGCCGCTGGTGGGCACTTAAGTTCATTATCTCTAATTTTCACAACCATCCTGGGTAGATATGATTAACCCGTTTTGTATGTGAGGGAACTGAGAAATGGAGAGGTTAACTTGCCAGTGGGTGGTGAGCCAGAATTCCAGCCGGGTCTGTCTCATGTCGCATCTTTGTGTTGCTCCTGGAGGCTTGTTTTGTTGTGAGGAATAAATGAGACTAGATGTGTATAGCATTCTTAGAACAGTGCTGGGTGTTACTGATCTGCCCACTGGCAGTTCTCTTATCAGGATGTATTTATATTCACTGGCACTTGCTGTTCTTCTGGTCTGTCTGCCTCCCCCAAATTCTGAACTTCTTTGGCTACTCTTTCCTTCCTGCATCTAGGGTGGAAGGAAGAGATGGAAACGCAGACAGACATTCACATCTACTGGCCAGAAGGCTGAGCAGAGAGGGCTCTGAGTGGAGACTGCCATGGGTGGGGTGAAGGGGATAGTTCTGAGAACAGAAACTGTAGTTTTAGAGACCCAAAGCTGGTACTTGGGGTCTTCTAGATTCTTCCTGTATATAGCCCAGCCCTGTCCTCCTGCTGTTGCTCTGTTCCTAGAGGACCCTGGAAATGCTCAGAGATCCTCCCCGCCCCTGGCTCCAAGGCCCTAAACTTTCTATTTGACTTTCAGGAAGACTGTCTTGGGCCTGTGGGACACTTATAGCCTATTAAACAGTCGTCTAGTCAATCAAATTCTATTTTAATTTTTGCACTGGAAAAACTATTATTTTGGGATGACTTGTATGGCTTAATTTGCTCATATTTAGGTAGGATGCTAAATTGAGCTGTGCAAGGGGACGTGAGGCTATGAGGTAGCAGGAGTGTTAACTCATGCAAAATGCCATGGTTTCGATTTGGGACACTTTTATCCCCTGTACCTAGTGTACCTGAACTTACCTGCCCCACAGAATGTGGAGAAACATTGCCTGTGATTACTTTAACAAGGATAGCAGATTGCCCCAAGTGGAGGCTCCTAATAACATTTGTAGGAGCTTTAAATCATGCCTGATGGGTGAATTCAGAATAGTTTTCCAGATTGCAGCACAATGTAATCCTAGAAATATTATAATCGGATGTGAGAAAATGCATTTTTGGCTGAGTGTTGAATGATTCATCTTAACTTTTCATTGTTTTACCTGATTATCAAGGAAAATCAACTTCCTAATTATTTGGTCAAAAAGAAAGTTCTGTAGTTATAAAGTTTTCTAAAATGACGATGATGACAGTGATGATGTTGTGTATGTGTATGTCAAGTAGGTTAAATAACTAAAAGAACGTAGCCAATTCAGAACGCCTCTGAGAAGTTTAGGCAAGAAACATCTCCCACTTGGTTTTTCACCGAGATCCCCACACATGTGAGCTCTTGTTGTTTCTTCATTTTACTTCTTTATCTTTCGAGTAATTTGATTTTTTTTAGCAGTTATAAATGCACACTTTGCTTGGGAAATCCTGTACGCAGGGATGGAGTTCTACAGCCTGGAATAATAGGTAGCCAAAGAATTAAGAAGAGAAAAATTTGCTGGAGTGTTCTAAGGTTGTCCCCTCTAATTTCCTTGCCCATGAAGTGGGTCAGTAGGATTTGCCCTAAACTGGATGAATTTGGGCACGCGTTCTGCTTCTGTTCAAGGTTCGGAGACAGAGCACTGGGTCTCCTGGTGGTTAGAGTAACACAGCTCTCTTCTTTGTCCTGAGTGGTTCCCCAGACGCCCTTCTGCTTACCTTGTAGTCGTGTGGAGCTGGCCCATTTGCCTCTCCTTCCAGGTGTCGGCACTCACCCTGCCCTTTTCATTTCCTTTGCCCTTAAACTTGGGGTTAGAACGCAGAATATTCCACTTCTCTCCATGCTGTTGTCTTGAAATTAAATAACTTGTATTATTATTTTAAGGGCAAGACAGAAAGCAGTTTTGTCCATGAAGCCTTCTCCTCTGGGCTCCCGGCTGTCTTGAATTTGAAATATGAAACCAGAGAGTTTCTTTGGTTAGTGTCTGCCTGAATTAGCAGTCTCTTGATCTCTGGCAAAACCTAGCCTTGTCCTTGATCTGTTTCTTTGTCGTGTTTGGTTTTCCTGAAGCATATTCACCAGCTAGTTGGTCAGTGGATGAGGCTCATGGTCTTCGCCTGTGATTTGAACTGCATCACACTATGAACCCACTGCTAAAGCTGGGTCTTCTTGATGGCATGTGTTTGTTCCTAATAAAGTTACAAGAGTTCTGATTCCTTTCTGTCTCAAAGCCTCCATCTCTTCCCATTGGGCTAACCATGCATTTTCTGTTTTCTGTCTGAAGCATGACTTAACAGCTTTCTCATATTCTTTCTAAAGACCATTTCGGGTCCCTTCTAGAATTTTATCACTGTACCACAGAAATATTTTTGCACCTTTAAAAATAATAGCAGGTAATTTTTCACCAAAAAATGTTACTCTCTGTATCAACTTTACCCATGACAATAACAATTAGCATTAATAGGATGCTTTATTTTTTACAGAATTCTTTCACATATCTTGAATCCCCAGGAAGTAATCAAAGAACCTTTTGTATAAACTTGTTTGTTCCTTGTGGGGTTGTAAAAACTCACCTGTAAAACCAAATGAATTTGGTGGTTTGTATATGGATAGATTTTCACCAATGATTCAGTTGCTTTAAAGTTTATCATTCCATTTGGCATATCTGTGTCTTCTCAGGTCAATTTTGGTATTTGTGTTTTCATTTTTCTGGAAAGTCATTTCATTTGAGTTTTTAAATTTATGGGGAGAAAGTTATTTTTTATGATTTTAGAAATATCCACTTTATCTGTATTTATGTTCTACTTTTTTATCCCTAATATTGTTATTTTTGCCTTTCTTTACCTTGATCAAAATTCTCAGAAATTTATCTATTTTATACTTTTTCAAACAATTGGAATTTGATTGGCTTCTAATTTATCAATTTCTACTCTTTATTATTTACTCAATCCTACTTTATTTGGGTGTATTTTGTTATTTTTTTTTAATTCTTGAATTGAAAGCTTAGCGCATTAATTATTGAATTTACTTGTTTTTCTAATATGTTGATTCCCACCTTGCAAGGGTACTGAATCCCTGAAAAAACGCTTATAGTTGAAAACATAATATTATTGTCAGTTATTTCAGTGGTAAATATTTTTATGAAATCCTGAGCTCCAAAGTTGGCATGCCCTTATGCCAAAATGACATTAGTCTTATTAAAATGGACAAAACTATTTCAATA